AATAAAAAGTGAATTTTAAATCTGCTTTTAAAGGAGCTTTTCTTTCCTCGGTGTTCCCGAAGAACAATTAGTGCTCAAGTAATTAACTAAAAGGAAAAGAGGAAAAGCAAAGGGCAAGAAAGCTGGCTCACAGCTTGGCAAAAAGGACAGGTGAGGAGCCAGCTCTAGGCTGCACGGGGCTGGTAAGACCTCACTGAAGACTGCATACACTTTGAGGCTAAGCAACACAAGACCCAACGTGACTTCAACGTTCTCCAAGAGACTCTGCCACTCCAAAAAACGTTTGCCCAAGAGCATCCCCAAAAGACACATCTTCCTAGTGCTTCGAGATAACTCGATTGATTCCACCAATGGCTCCTTAGAACTCCAGAAATGAGTGTGCTATTCATAGGATGCCAAGAAGAGGGAAGGTGCTAAGACATGGCAGGAAGAGAGACAGACAGACAAACAGACACAGAGAGAGGGAGAGGGAGGAGAGAGAAGGAGAGAGAGGAGAGAGACAGAGAGACAGAGAGGAGCGAGACAGTGAGACAGAGAGGAGAGAGAAGTACGGAAGGCAGGAGATGGGAAGGAAAGCAGAGCTGTGCCGAGGCCAGGACAGGAAGATGAGAGCCGGCAGACACTGTGGCGATGTGCCCTCCAGATGCACTTCCTTCAGCAGCGCGCAGGAAGGGTTCGTTGCTTCACAGAATGGAAGTCTGGCTACCACGCAGGGCAGTGGGCCAAACAATGACAAGTACATTTTCAAAGTTTCCAAATGAACTAAGTTATTTGGCTGCTTTTCAGCGCTGACCTTTCCAAGATAAAGTATGTTTCATATACACAGCTGGCAGCCTCTAGGGTGACCAATGGCCCTCACCAAAAGGAACCCCTGGGGGAAAAAATACAATGTATGTACATAAAAAGAAATGTGTATAAAGTAGTTGCGGTGTAATTCAAGTTTCAGATTTGTTCTACAAACAAGCAAACGCTTCAGGTCAACAACTATGTGAAGTGGCATCAGTAACTACCAGATTTCATACATTTCCCTGGAACTCAGAGAAATACACCTGTATTCACCGTCACATCCGCCCAAGAGATCAGTGATCTTAATCAGAAGTAACAGACCTAAGATTCGCTTTCCAAACAATAAAGACTGTGGGTCAAGCATATGTATTATTTATGATGGAAAAAAATTAACCAGCCCAGTACTAGTCACATTCAAGTTTATGAAAATATGCTGAAGTCTTTTTTTCGAGATGGGGTGTGCTTTAGACCAGGTCTTATTCTACAGCCAAAGCTAGCCAGCCGGGAACTCACTATATAGCCCAGGCTGGCCTCAAACTTGTGACAATTCTCTCCTGCCTCAGCCTCCTGGGTGCAGGGATTTCAAGGAAGTGCCACTATTTTCAGTCATTTTCTAAAATTTTATGACAATGAGCACAACACTGAAATTGTAAAAAGCAGAAACTTCAGGAGGCCTTAATCTCGGTTTGATATTCTCTGCCAATGGAACTACTACTGAAGAATTTAGCAACAGAATATCAAAATAAAATAAAAATTTAAAAATAAAAAAAAAAAACAATGTTTCAGAAATAGAAAACCAGTAGAAACATAGAAGAGGTTTTGCAGGTCTAGTGGCCGAATGATAGGAGGAATAAAGCAGCTCCCAGCAGCCCAGACCCAGGCTCAAGTAAGAAGCAGAGAGCAAAGCTGGAAGCAAGGAAACATTAACAAAGAAGAGATTGGAAACGCTTCTGCCCGGTGACTAAGCAGTGACTAATCTCAGAGGAGTGTAGTAGGAGAGACAAAGTAAAATAGAAAACGAGAGGGAGGAATATGAAGTGATCTCCAGGGCAACAGAGAAGAGGGCTCCATGAATAGAAATGGAGGTGCAACTGACATCTCTTGATGCAAATATAATTCATTTTTAGACCAAATGACGTGACAAGGCTAACCAGGCTAAACAGCCCACTATTGCAATATTGTTTCTTAAGGAGAAAAAGAACCTGAAACTAGGGCCTTTTCTGTGCTTTGAGACAGGGCGTCTGGGGCAGGCCTTGAACTTCTGATCCTTCTGTCTCCACCTCTCAGTGCTAAGACGACAGGTGTGCACCAAGTTCCCAGCTTGACCACTCCACCTTAGCACTTCTTCTTCACTAGTATCAATGGGTTCACACCCACAACCACACAGAGAAACATTATCACTTGCAACCCTCTACTACAAGAAAAATGACATGTGAACCAACCCACCTGAAACTGGGGTATTTTGAAAGCTACTCTCCTCACTAATCGATACTTTTCACACCAGGAAAAAAAAAAAAAGCTCTTTCATTAACACTTGATTCTATAGTTTCCCTTTAAAAGTTTATAATATTAAATAATATATGCTACTGATAATTCAGTACTATGGGTTTCAGTGCTTGCTGAATTTAAGAGTGCTTTTAAGAAGATTAAGCATAATTTTGTTTGGTTGGGTGTTTTTTGTTTGTTTGTTTGTTTGTTTGTTTTGGTTTAGGTTGTTGTTGTTGTTGGTTTTGGTGCATGGCGGGGATAGTTTTGAGACAGGGTTTCTCTGTGGAGCCCTGGCTGTCCTGGCACTCTTTCTGTAGAGCAGGCTGGCCTTGAACTCAGAGATGAGCCTGCCTCTGCCTCCTGTGGCTGCGATTAAAGCATGTGCCACCACCCAGCATTTTGCTAGTTTCTGTTTTTATTTTTCTTCTAAGGTTAAGCATAATTTTGTAATAATCTTCATTTAATCTGAAAAAGTCTGCAAGGATAAACCTTTGTTTGGGTGTATTTTTTTAGAGGTGGGGGTACTTCAAGGTTGTTTTCTATCTTTTAAGTTAGGCTGGTCTCCGTGGTGGTGCGCGCCTTTGATCCCAGCACTCTGGAGGCAGAGGCAGGCAGATCTCTGTGAGTTCGAGGCCAGCCTGGTCTACAAAGCCAAGTTCAGGACTGTTATGCAGAGAAACCTTCTTCAAAACAAAACAAAACAAAAAGACCCATGCAGGATTTCGTGTAAACATGAGGTCATATAAATGTGCGAGCTCATAGCACATTCACTGGCCATATGTTTTCAAAAGATTAGTCACATTCCTTGCAATCAACAATAGCAAATACCACCAACAGCTCTGTACTGCTGTTCTCCATAGCAAAAACAAAAAACAAAAAACGTTTCAAAGCTTGCAGCCTTTCTGCCACGTAGAAAGTCCCGTAGACTAACAGAAGCAAACAACAATATTAATAACAAGTTAACAGCATTTGTAAAACACTCCATCAATTCTGAAGTATTTAAATGTTTAATTCCTGATGTAGGCACAGGATATAGTTTCAGTCTGAAAATTTCCATATAATTAAATCTGAAGGGTTCACCCTGAAATCAAGTAGAGTGCCCATCATATAAAGAGCATACACTGAAAAAAAAAAAATACTCGAAAATCGCCAGGCATGGTGGAACACACCTGTAATCTCAGCACTGGGGAGCCAGAGGCAGGTAGATCTCTGTGAGTTCAAGGCCAGCCTGGTCTACAAAGCGAGACCAGGACAGCCAAGGCTACACAGTGAAACCCTGTTGCGAAAACAAAAAACAAAAACAAAACTGGAAAGTAGAATTGTTTTAAGTGGTGAGCTAAGTAAAATGATGAGATGGAGGGGATACGAGTGCAGCTCAGAGAAGCGTGTAGCACGGACTGGGCAGCCGGCCCCGGCGGGCTCCCAGATCTACGCCATTCCTCCAACGAGGGCAGCCACAGCAACTTGTGGTGTTAGAAGCTGTCTGCGGCTGGGGCTTCCGTCGTTTTTCGGTTTTGGAGGACGTGAGCTCAGGTCTCAGAGGAAGCACTGACGGTGTGAATAAAGCCCTGCGCTACATAAACAATGTGTAGTGTTTGCAAACCGCAGCCGAGCTGCGTTGAAGACCGGTACCAATGACACTCAGCAGTACTCAGGAAAATGGTGCCAAAGACCCTGACGTCCGCCCTAACAGCCATAGGCAAGTTCTTAGGTCACCTTCAACTGAAGCATGTATCAGGAAAAAAAACGGTCCTATCCAAGTACTGACCATCAAATTTACGCTGTGCCCCTCCCCAAAACGTACATCTTTGAAAAAAAAAATACATATAGTAAGAACAATGTGTTGTTGCCACTTGCAAGCAGAGAAATGACCAAAGAGATGGATTCTTTCAAAAACTGTAAAACCATAAAACAGTTAAGTCAGTGTTTCTAACACTAACGCACGGGGCTAAGAATGACGCCAGCGTTGAGTCAGAGGAAGCTTTAAACCCAAGAAGTACAGTAACAGCACGAATCCTCAGGGCGCTGCAACACAGGACGTGGGTAATCTGAAGCCTCCGTAAACTGCGGAGTTCTTCGGCACCGAGGTGACGGGCAGCGGCGAAAACTCAGCAAACACCCTGGTTCTTTCTGAACAATGACCTCAACAGTGCACTGGAAAAGGACCGGATGACGCGTTCCAGTCATCTGGTGGACCTCAGACACGCTAAGGTCTCCGTCCTTGACAATTTAGTGCAACAATTTGCTCACTTTAGTCAACAGCGTGTCTAGAACAAGAGTGAAAGGGAGAGAGGGGGGGAGAATCAGACGAAGGGAGGGAAGGGCGAGTTTCGGAGAGCAAAAGGTACCAGGAGCAGGCTTCCTGCTGCGGAAGAAACAGAAATCCTGGGACCAGGAGAAGCAAGTCACAGAAGGGCAGAGACGGCCAAAAGAAGCCCCGCAGGACCAGCCGGTACTGATTTCTCGCTTTTCCTGGCTGTTTAACAGAGCTCCTTCAAAGCTCTCCCCCACTGTCCCGGGCCAATCAGGAGACGCTGGGGACCGGGTGAAAGCGGACAGCGAGCGCCCGGTTAGGTTAACCCACAATGGTCTCATCCACGCGGGACCGGGGCCAGCCGCGGGATGGAGTGGGCGGGCCGGTCTGGAGCCAGCGGCCGGGTGCATCGGCTGGGTGGGGGCGCGCCGTGGGGGAGGGGGCGCCCGGGGACTCAGGCGCGGCCACTTACGAGGACGTGCTGGGCACGAAGAAGTCCACGGCGAACCCGAAGTAGCTGCCCTCGGGGCCGGCGTACTCGGCGGGGCTTTCGACGTCCAGATTGAAGGCGCCGGCGAGCGGCAGCAGCAACAGCAGCAGCGGCGGGAGGACGCCGGGGCGAGGGCGCAGCGGCCTGGGAGCAGCCATCGCCGGGGCGCGCGCGGGGCGCGGAGCCCGGAGGCCGCGGTCCGTGTCCCGGTGCGCGGCCCGCCG